TTGCGTGGCACATGACCGAGCGGCCCCAGTTGGTGATGCTGTATGTTTCCCGCGGTTGAATTACGTGCCGCACAACCATATAGCCCTTTTCCAATCACCTCAGTAATCCACTGACGCCATCCAAAGCCAGCAACGCTTGTTAGGCATTGATGGTCAACAACCTAAAGGTGCCTCATATCATACATCCGCAGAGGTCACGTCTTGCACCCATAGAACGAAACTGCCCTTACCGTAGCCTGGTGCACGTGACCCTTAAGATCCTTTTGATGCAACTTACCAAGCCTGAATTAGCCTTTGAGATCCTTGCACTGACTTCATCAGACACATTTCCGCCAAGACTAATACAACTACCGAGGTATCTACAATTTTCCACAGCCTCCAGTGATTCTCCTTGAGTTGTAGCTAACGGCACTGACCGATTGACAGAATCGGACGCACAGTTGGTGTCGAGGAAAACCAAGATTGTCGGTCATCTGTGGCGTTGCTCTAAGGCCTGACGGAGTTTGAAGATTCCCACGAGTTTTGATTCTCACGAGTCAAAGTTTCTCATGCCGCAATAAGACCACGGAGACTCAGTGATGCCAGAAGGCTTGTCACAACAGGAGTCAAACTAACACCTCTGGTTCACTGCGAGTACCCTTCTTGAAAATGTGCACTATTATCGATTCACCCCAGTTGTCTGGATTGGTCTCTTTCTCTCAGATCAACCCAACTAGGCTACACAGGCACTATAGCACTGAGAAACCCGCCGCCATCCTTGAATATAGCATGTGGAAGGTCGTCAATACCAGTGTAACGGTGATACTACTGATGGGGAGGCACGCGAGTAGTATGTGTTGTTCGTAGGATTTCGCTTTGCGCCTATTGAAAAAGAGATCTGTTGCGGATTTCGTGGAGCCACTTTGTAACATTTGCTTGATTCGACCGGACGAATGAGTGGAGTCAATGAATCTCCAGGAAATTTCAGGAAGACTCGTTCGGGAGAAGATCGGTGTTCAGTGTTTGTAACTAAGATACAGATTAGAGTTTTGCTTCCCTGTTCAATGGTCTGTAACCGGTCAGTTAACATTTCCGAATAAACAACTCCGCAGCGAAGGCCTTTTTCCTTTCACCAGTAGCACGACGACATTTGAGTAGGGATATACACTTGGACACTTCTGAGGTAGAAGGCAGCTCCATGTTCATAGTTTACCTCTGTTGAAGGCCAGGATTCCGGATTGCAGGTAACAGGTGTCCAACTGAATTGCTGTTCGAAGTACTGTGCCCATTGGTCCAGATGTTCTGGTTTGCTAGATATCAGGGGGGGGGGCATTTTCGTCTGATAATTCCGCTGGCAGAGCCCTTCCGAGAACCAGTCGAATCAAGTGTAACAGCTAGCGGACGTTTCCGGCTTTTTACTGTCTTCCATTTCTTCGGTCCTTCGGGTCTACCAAGCCTCTCGATTCGAACGGGCACTCAATTTCACTTGACCTCGGTTTGAGTTGTGGTTGTGGTCAGGGAAAATCACTTCGTGACAGAATGAACCAAGTGCGCTTGATTTAAACGCTAGACTACCTGAAGCTGATTGGATTGCCTATCATTCACCAGTCATGTTTGGAGAAAAATTCCCCTATATTGTATTGTTGGAGCGGTCGCTCCGGCCCAGGCGAAAGAAGTTTAGAATTAACCACTAAACTGGTAGAAAAGTCGTTGAAATCGGGCTTGTTTCGCTTGTGTATAGTTATCATGTATTAGGCTGGTTATTTTCTGAGATCAGTTGCTAGTAGCCTCCATATAGTTCACTCCCAAAGTTAGCATTTTAAGAAGACGGTCATCGTGAATCAATGAAGAATTCCTCATGTAAGAGAAGCTAATCTGTGAAGGAAAACCTTATTGGAATTTGTCAGCGGTGTGCATCTCCAAATTTCAGGGAGTTTCAAGTTCACGACCTTTCGACTATTACTCTGAACGCTTAACCGTTTGATAACGAGCGATCGTCATTGGATGAGCCGGCCAACCGGCCATGTTCTGCCTAAACTCGGATTAATCACACCGCTAATCAGCCGCTCGTGGTCGAACAGTTGTGTTGCTATTCAGGGAGGTCGCAGATTCGGGACTCGAGCTCCGCGAGATGCACACTGTTGATAATTCTCTATAAGG